TGTTTTTTTTTTTTTTTTTTTGGTATCAGGGATTGAACTCGGGTCCTTGGGCTTGCAAGGCAAACAGCAGAACCACTGAGCTAAACCCCCGGCCCCACAACTGCTTTTTTAGATTGCTCTTGTTGTTCGTTGTTTCAAAAAAAGAAAAAGTCTGAAAACATAAACAGCTACAGAGTAGCCCATGACCTCTGAGGAAGCCACCAATCCATTCAGGTGTGAGACAGCAAGAGCATTGCCTACGACCTGAGAGGCTTTGTGGGGAAGAGACCTCCCAGCTGTGTTCAGCCCCAAAGCTAGGTGTGGTTCCTGCCCGTGTGCCCCAACTTCTCTGCCACCACACCCTGAGCTCCGACCCTCTTCCCTTCCCTGTGGCCACATAATGATTTAGGGCTGCTCCAAGTGTCTCTGCATAAAGATCAGTTTTATCCTTCCCTTCATTTCACATAAGCAACAGCCTGTTTCACACTCTGTCCTGCACCATGGTGTTTTTCATTTTGCTCTATCTGAGAAATCTTTCTGCATCAGTACATGAGGCACTTCCTTCAGAGAGAGTTTTAATACAGTCTCATTTCCTTCCTTAAAACTAACCGGCGCCATACATCAGTTCGGGTGGATGCTCGCAGACCATCTTGTCTGGAGTCTTTTTTTATTGTTTGTTTTTGTTTTTTGAGTCAGGGTCTCGCTATGTAGTCCAGGCTGGCCTTGAACTCACTAAGCTTCTCCTGCCTCAGCCTCCTGAGTACTGGGATTGCAAGAGTGCATCATGGCGTATCTGTCTGTTTGTGTGTCTTCGTTTCTTGTGATACCGGGGACTGAATCCAGGGCCTTGGGCATGCTAGGCAAGTGCTCCCCTGCTGAGACACATCACCAGCCCCTTTTGGAGTTGTTAAAGGACGTTTAGGCTTATTTTGAGGGACTTATGAAATCCCCAAAGCTTCAAGCTGATTATGTGACAGTGACTTTTGGTGGGGGTTGGTGTCCAGGGGTTTGAGCAGGTCCTCTATGTTACGGTCCCTGGAGTGGAAGCAGGGCAACAACTGGGTGTAGAAAGGAGCAGGGTGGGAGGGAGAGTTCTTACATGTTTGTGAATGGGACTGGGGGGTGGGCTTTACGATGATTTTATCTGCTTATCAAGTATATTGAAAGCGTGAGGACAGTCCCTTCCCTCGCGGGCCTGGGACATGGAAGGCCTGTGAGCCCTCCGACGGGGTACCTGAAACTGGGTACACAGGACCCCACGCTTTCTCCAGAGGCCTGGGCATCAGGAGGCTGGGAGGGCTGGTCTCTGCCTGGCTTTTCACAGGGACCCGGAGCCCACAGGCCGCCCCTCAGCAGAGCAGAGCTCCAGTCCCTGCTTCCACTTGCTCCCTTGCAGCATCGTCTCACATGGAGCCTTTCGCTGAGGTAGCAGGGTCCCCAGAGAGCCCGATCCCAGACCTTTGGCAGCCACACACTCCACAGATCCCTGGGAGGCAGCAGATGGCCTAGCTGGGCTGTAGCCCCTGAGACCCCAGAACCCAGGGCCCAGGGCTCCGAGGCAGAGGCAAGTCCCCGTGCCTGATCCTGCCCTGTCGGGACTGGGGCCCAGCCGGGTGGCAACCTGATGCGGGCATCCGCCACAGTGCTTTTCCGTAGCAGAGCGCTTGCTTTCATCTTTGCAGTGCTAGGGCTCAAACCCAGGGCCTCGCGCACTAGGCAGGTGCTCTGTCGCCGAGCCTGTGCCCCGGTCCCAGAGTTTCTCATGGCTTCACTCTATGATGAAAATAACAGGAATAGCGAATACTTCTGAAGCACAGACTGCCATGTCCTAGGCCATTCTGGTGTTCCACTGTGTGTGCGTGTGTGCGTGTATAAAACTTTTAGTGTTTATAGATGACCCTATGAGGGTAGATACTGTTATTACTGCATTTATTTTATATTTTTATCTTTCCATACTGGGGATCAAACTCAGGACCTTGAGTTTGCCAGGCAGGTGTGGCACCCCAGGCTGCATCCCTGGCCCTACCACATTTCAACCTTTGAGAAAACAAAAGTCTAGAAAGATCCAAAGTCTCCCCTAAGGCCACAGGTTCAAGTTGATTATCCCTTATTCAGAATGTTTGGGACCTGAAGTGTTTACAATGCTGGATTTTGTGGGGTTTTAGAATATTTGCATATACATAAGATCTTGGGGATGAGACCCAAGCTCACCAAATCCATTTATGTTCCTATGGTACTTTATACACCCCACAGGAGAATCGTGGAGGGTTATTTTTTAGATAGGGTCTTACTGTGTAATGCAAGCTGGCCTAGAACTTGTGATCTTCCTGCCTCAGCCTCCCAAAGACTGCTGAAATTGTAAGGGTGTGCTGCCATGCCTGGCTCTGAAAATGATTGTGTTTGTTTCTTTTTTAATTACTTTTTTTCTGTGGTCCTGCCAGGGATTAATCCTTCGGCCTTGTACATGCTAGGCAAGTGATTTCCCACTGCTGCACCCGCGGTCCCTGGGGAGTTCTTTCAGAGGGCCTGTGCTTTGACTGTGAGCAGTCATGTGAGGTCAGGTGTGGAATTTTCCACTTGCGGCTTCATGTCAGTGCTCAGAAGTGTTCGGATCTAGGAGCATTTCCGATTAGGGGTGCTTAATCTACGCTGTAGCTTAGTGACTGGGCTCTTAACCTCTTGGGTGTCCCTTTTCACTTGTAACTACACAGCTGTGTTCATCTGGGTTACCTGCAATACCACCAGCACCGTTTCTTTCTTGTGTGCCAGTCTGAATGCAGGCAGCCGAGGATTCCCGTGACCCAGTCTCCTTCCTGCTTTCTCTTCCACCCTTGCTAGATTGTGTCCCCCTTATCCTCATGGCCTGAGATGGCTGCCAGAGATACAGTTATCACATTCATATTCTGGGGAGATGAACGGTGAAAACAAAAATCAAGAGATGCTACTTCCTTTTCTGTGCAGTTCCCGGGCGCCCATGTAACACATTGATTTCACGTTTCATTGGCCAGAAGTTCTCCATGTGTTCACACCTGGCTGTAAGGGAGATTGGAATTGTAGTCTTATTCTGTGTGGTAGACTCAGACTCCTAATATGTAGGAGTCTTTCTTACTGCAGGGGGAAGGGAAGGTGGATATGGGGAACATCTAGCGGTTTGGCACAATTTCTGGAACAGGGTGTTTTGTTTGTTAAACTTTAAGGAAAACACAAAGAAGTAAGAAAAATTACTCAAAGATGACCTGCATGCCCGGGACAGTAGTAGCACAAGGAATCCCAGTGCAGAGGGAGAGGGAGGTGGAGGCCAGTGAGTTCAAGTACAGCCAGGCCAACCTAGAGAGACCCCGTATCAGAAAAGAATTTTAAAAGGCTAGGGAGGTAACTCAGTGGTGGAGTGCCCATGATCCCTGGTATTGTGAGGGGAAGGAAAAAAAACCCCAAGAAACACCTTATCTCATTAAATTGCGTTTGTGGTAATGTTTTCCGTAGTTATCATTGCATGCTGGTTTTATCATGCACAGGGTTTTCTGGTTGTTACTGGTGTGTTCACACTGGGAACTGAACTCAGGCCCTTGCATAAGCTAGGCCAGTGCTCTCCACTGGCTGCATCCCAGCTCCTGTATTAATGAGCTCCAGGAGTCCGTGCAGTTCCTCCTGCTGGGAAAGTGGGTCTGAGAACCCTAGCCCGCTGTGACCGAAAATAAGGACTAACCTGTTTCTCACCTGTTTCTCCAATTTTCTGTTGATTTGAAGCCTGAAAACGTTGCTCTTTCTGGGCTGCAGATTTAGCTTAGTGGTTCCGCCGCCTGCCTCACAAGCACAAAGAGTTCAATCCCTGGTAGCCCCCACCGCCCAAAAGGTTGCTCTTCCTAAAGTTTTGTGCCTCTGAAATGAAGGATTCCAGATTCCCAGGCAGGCTCCTTTTACTTGGAGACCCGGGGGGCTGGGGCCTTAGGTTTCCTGGGCCTTAGCTTCCAGGAGCTCCTAGAGGACCTGGGGTGGGTGCCCCGCGTGACCGGTCAGTGCCAGGCCCCACGGCACCCAGCGGTATGTGGCCTCTCTCCCTGGAGAGGCACAGTTAGGGGGCACCCAGGGAGGCAGAGGCTGGGCCTCACAGCTGCGCCCTCCCTCCACAGGATCTTCATCATCTGGGCCATCAGCAGCTGGTTCCGCCGAGGGCCGGCCCCTCAGGACCAGGCGGGCCCCGGAGGAGCCCCGCGCGTCGCCAGCCGCAACCTGTTCCCCAAAGACACTTTAATGGTAACCACTGAGTGGGAGATGTGCGGGGGCAAAGGAGGAGCCGTGAGTGACCAGGGTGGGTGGGACTGAGTGGGCCCATTGCCACTGTCAGCTCTGGGAACGTCACCGTAGCTGCAGCCTGTGTGGCCCACGTAACTGTGCAGAAACTCGCAGTGTTCAGTGCTGGCTTGCGTGGGAGGAGGGGTGGCAGGGTCTTTGGGGGCTCTGTGTTCGTTTGGCTTTCCACGGTGCAGAGCGAGGGGCAGGCGGGGTGGGCTCCCCACTTTCTCTTCTCTGAAGCATGTCTCACACGACTCTTGTCAGGAGGTGGCTCCTGCTTAGCTGTTCATGGTCAGTGGCCGTGGGGCTCTGGACAGAGGTGGGCTGAAGGAGGCAGCTCTCTCCAGAGCCTGCTCCCCACTCTGGGCCACTGCCTCCCTCTGTGTCTTTCTCCCAGCCGGGAGGCCGAAGCTGCAGATGGGAGGAGATCCAGGGGGAGCCCCTGAAGGTTGGGCGGCAGGCTGGCCCGGCCGCAGGTGCTCTTTGCTCACTGACGTCCCAGGCTTAGACCAAGAGGGGTGCAGGGGCGGTGAGAGTTCATTCTCCCCGCTGTCCCCACCCAGCGATAACCGAGCATGAGTGCGGGCCCGGCCCTGCTGCTGCCCCCGCCCGGCAGCGCTGAGACCCGGTCTCTGTGCAGAACCTGCACGTGTACATCTCGGAGCACGAGCACTTTACAGACTTCAACGCCACCTCCGCGCTCTTCTGGGAGCAGCATGACCTGGTGTATGGGGACTGGACCAGCGGCGAGAACGCAGACGGCTGCTACGAGCACTTCGCCGAGCTCGACATTCCGCAGGTGGGCCCCGTGCTGCCCTGCTCGGCCCCCAGGCTCCGTGACTGCAAGCAGGGCCCTGCAGCCTGTGTTTGCGATGGCCTGGGTCCCCACACTGCCTCCAGGGTGACGTGTCCTGACTTTATTTTTGTTTGGTTTTGAGACAGTCTTGCTGTGTAGTTCAGGCTGGCCTTGAACTTGAAGCGATCCCCCGCCTCACCATGCAGCACAGTGCACAGCTGTATCCCGATAACTCGGGGGTGGTTAGTGATGGGCCAGGGAGCCCGGCTGGCACATCTGGCTCGTAGCTGAGGGCTCCAAGCCAGGCCGCTGACAGGAACCCCCTTGTACTCCATAAAGGAGGAACATCTGTCTGCAGATAGATAGGGACAGGTGGGGAAATGAGGCACAGAGCAGGATGGTGACTTTCGAGGTCGTCCAGGCGGTGACTGAACTCAGCCTCTCGGGCTCCAGACTCTGGCAGCTGGGGTTCAAGTCCTGGCTCCTCCAGAATGCTTTCCCTGACACATGGGCGCGGTCAGGCGCCGTCTCTGGTCCTCCCCACCCAACCTTGTCCGTCCGGTGTCTCAGTCTGTGGAGAGCTCTTTCTCCCTGTGTCTCCGACGCCCGGGAGGCTCGGGCTGCAGTCGTTTCTTCAGCCCCACTAGGGGACCGGGTGCAGGATTGGCGAACGCTGAGCAGTGAGAGGGAGCTTTCCTCAGGGCCTCCCAGGCTGAGCCCGCGTTCCTTCCTCCCCATCCCCCGGGAGGGAGGGCAGGGGCATCTCTGCCCCGTCCCTGCCGAGGTGGCCGGGAGGGTGTGGACACAGCCACTCCGAGGTGGCTGACGCCACCTGTTGAGATGCCAGCCCAGGCCTCACCTGAGGCCCAGGGAAGGCTGGGGACCGGCCCGGTCTGCCCATCAGGAGAGCTGCTCCCGAGGACTTCGGCCTCTCCTCCTTGAAGCTCCAGGGTGGGGTCAGGGTGCAGTGAACGGCAGGACTCGGTGTGGCCCATGAGCCCAGGCCCTGCTCGAAGGACAGAGGATGCTCAAATCCGGTGTCCTTGGGCAGCTTGCTTTCCCTACCAAGCCTCAGTTTCCCCATCTGTACCCAGTGGGAGTAGCCCCCTCTCGGAGGCTGAGAGACTCAAGGTGGCGACGTGGAAAAGGCTCGGGCAGGAGTGCGAGAGCTGGGGTTACAGAGCCTGCAGACTGGGTCCCGACCTGCTTCCTCGCCCTGTACCCATCAGTCCGTTATGTGAGCCCCAGCCAGCTCCTCATCTGTGACGTGGCGACGTGACGTGACGTGACTCACGCACTGCACAGGCCCAACGTGGGGTGGCACCGTGGATGTGGCGGGTTAGGGAGATGGAGTCTGCTGTGCCCAGCTCACCCGGGCCATTTCCCAGCAGACAACAGGACAGGCCTTGTGTCCCAAGGGACACTGTGCCCTTGGCTTAGCCCTTGATGATTTGCACCCCACAGATGGGCCCCTGGGGCAGAGAGGAAGCTCGAGCCCACATAGTGGGAGGCTCTGAGAGAGACCAGAACCCAGATTTGAATCCAAGGCTGCCTCACTCGGCGCTGGGCTCTTTCCACTCACTGCACGCACGTCCCACCCTGAGTACGCTGTACACAGCCGCAGAGTTGGGGTGGTGCCATCCCTTGGGCCCACCCTGCCCTTCCCCGTGGCTGCCTGCCCACCTGTCCTTTTGTCCCTTGCAGAGTGTCCAGCAGAATGGCTCCATCTACATCCATGTCTACTTCACCAAGAGTGGATTCCACCCAGACCCCCGGCAGAAGGCCCTGTACCGCCGGCTCGCCACGGTGCACATGTCCCGCAGTAAGTCACTCCCTGCGGCCAGACCCCACCGTCCAGGGCGCTGTTTCTTGGGAGTCAGGCTCTGATTATATAGTCCATGCAGGCCTTGAACTCAACAGGTGTACGCTACCGCTGGGGGCTGGGCTTTGGGTTTTGGATGTTACTTACTGACTCTAGTGTGGAAGAGGAAATCCCAGCAGAGGAACACAGTTTTAATTAGTTTAATACTCAGTGTTTAAATACTGCACGTGTGTGTGTGTGTGTGTGTGTGTGTGTGTGTGTGTGTGTCAGTGTGAGCGTGTGCCTACCCGTGATGTTGGGGATTAGATCTAGGGCCTTATTCTCTCCCACTGAGCTATACTTCCAGCCCCTTGAATGCCTTTGAGGAAGTGATTGCTATTCTGACCGCAAGCACATACTGAATATGGTTATTTGATTATATTTTGTTTCCTTTTTTGTGTAAGTTCTTGTTTTCCAGAGAGTTGATAATTATCTTTCTATTTGCCTGGCTCCTTGTGATCTGATCTGATCTTTTCTTTTCTTTTCCTTTGGTACCTGGGATTGAACTCGCTTGTGAGGCAGGCAGTGGCACTACTGAGCTATGTCCCTGTACCATTTTTTTTTTTTCTCCTTCTTTTTGGTACTAGGATTGAATGAACCCAGGGCCTTTGTACTGAGCTAGATTCCCAGCTCTTTATTCCTTTTCTTTATTTTGAGTCAGGGTCTCAGTAGATTGCCCAGGCTGGGCTCAGACCTGTAGTCTTCTTGCCTCTGCCTCCCAGAGTACTGGGATTACATGGATATGATGAGCCACTGTGCCCTGGCTGCTGTAGAAGCTGCTTCTTATCTCTGAGTTTCAGCTGCCCTGGAGAATGGCCCCCTCGAAAGCCCCCACTGTCCTAACTTGAACATCGTGTCTTCCACCTGGCTATGTTTTGTTGAAAACTATGCCTAGCATCCCCTTGGACTTGGTTAAACCCATCCGGCTGTTTCTGACACAGTGACAGATGTCATTCAGTTTACATGCATTAGGTCTTCCCTGCTTCTTTGGTATGGAAATCGCCTATAGGGTGGTCAGTTTTTGTTGTTGCCTCCACTAGCTGGGGTAAAAAGTCGATGAGCCCATTTCAGTCCACAAAACTAATTTGGAAAAGTCCCATGCAATGTGCCTGGCACAGGCTGAGTTCTAGCGTGCTATGAATGTGCCTGGTGGAGGTTGTGGCATGATATTTCAATAAAGAATCTACATAAAATAATAAACCTTTACTTTTTTGGTACGTGGGGATCGAACTCAGGTCCTTGCACTTGCAGAGCAGGTGGTGGAACCACTGAGCTAAATCCCCAGCCCTCTTTTTTACTTTTTTGAGACTGCCTCACTGTGTACTTCAGACTGGCCTTGAACTCACTATATAGCTCAGTCTGGCCTCAAACTTGGCGATCCTCCTGCCTCAGCCTCTTGAGTGCTGGGATTAGAGCACATACACAACCACACCCGGCTTTGGATATATTCTTTACACTGATTTTTTTGGCACCAAGTTTCAGAGTCTCGTGTCCAGGTCACACTGGCAGTGCATCTCCAGCTGGACCAGCCATGTTTCAGTGCCCAGTGCCCACCGGGCAGCAGCCTCCAGGCTGGATGATGTGGCTTTGCTGACCTCTGACACAGGGAGCTCTTTGCTCCCCACACAAGCCATTCCCCATTGTGGTGTCTCCTGTCACCCACTAAGCCAGGGCCCATCTCTGCTGGGCTCCCCCTGCCGAACCCGCAGCCCCTTCCCCCTTCCCGGACCCCCCCCACAGGGATGCCCCCCAGTCTTGAAGCCAGGTCCCAAGCGAGTTACTGAGAGGGTGGAGATGAGGTTCGTGTTTGTAAGAGCAGCAGGCTCTGGGGCAAGAAGAAATCAGGCTTCTGTCCCATCTCCAGAGGAGGGACAGGGACGAAGGTCCAGGATGTGACAGAATTCACCAGAGTCCTCAGTCTGTAGAAGACAGAGCCAGGAGCTGTTGGCCGGGTCCCTTTCCCATCTCCCATCCCTTGAGCCAGGGACAGCAGGACAGGCAGTTTCCTTCCGCAGGAAGAAGCAGGAAGGGCAGAGGTGGGCACACGGGAGGGCGATCCCGGCAGCACCTAGGGCAGGTGTGCGGTGCCTGTGGCCGGCCTGGCCTTGGCAGGCTGAGCTTTGGGAAGGAAGGGCGATCCTGGCTGGGGACTCTTGGCCCTGAGTTTTCTCACTTTGGTCTAGTCCCTGTTGGCTTAGGTGTCCCTGGAAGCTCCACAACCCCCCATGCAGCTGCATGTGCAGGGGTCGCCTCTGAGTCTGTGTGGGCAGCCACGTTCAGGACAGGTTCTGAGCTACAGCATGGGCTTCGGAACTGGCCAAGACTCAGGGAGCACACCGATGACCGGGCCTGGTCTGTTTGTGTAGTGACAGAGAGCTGTGGAGGAAATAAAAGCTGTGGGGAGAAGGATGGAGCCGCCCCCTTCAAAAGGGTGCCTGGGAGCCAGGGGAAGGAGACAGTCAGCCTCTCAAAGGCTGAGGGGGAGCCAGGCACGAGGACTGAGGACTGTTGAGGGGCACGTGGTCTGTTCCTGGGGATGCAGCTCCCGGAGGACGGAGCCCCTGGTGGAGGGTTGTGGAGAGGGCACTGGGAGCTGGTGCCACTTGGTTAGAAAGAATCATTGGTTGCCTTGTGGGGCAGGAGTGGCCACAGGGAGCCCTGAGTCAGTGACCTCAGCTGTCTTGGAGGGGAGAGGATGGCTGGCGGCTGAGGGGTGGGCAGAGGACGTCCCCTGCCGGGCTGCTGGGAGGAGAGAGGGGTCTGCAGGGGGTGGACTCATGGGGGTGGTGTTGCTGTGTGGGAGGGGACGGGGCTGCTGAGACTCCAGGGAGGGGCTCGCCAGCGGGTGGCCTGGCGTCCGGATCTGTGGGTGCCCCGAGTCTCACAGTGCTCCCCACACCCCACCCTCAGTGATCAACAAGTACAAGCGCCGAAGATTCCAGAAAACCAAGAACCTGCTGACGGGAGAGACAGAAGCGGACCCAGAGATGATCAAGGTGACAGAACAGGGCGTGCACAGCCCGGCTGCCCTCAACCTCAGTTCTGTCCCTGGGGAGGGTTGGAAGTCAGCGGGAGTGGGAAGACTGGACATAGCCACTCACACCCGAGCCTCTTGTCCCCGGGGAGATGGGTCCAGCCACCAGCCCCGTCCTGCTGCGGAAACTGCTGGGAAGTGGGGGCTGGACCCACACCCACAGCCAGCATGGAGCGGGCAGTGTGCACGCAGCTCTCAGGCAGTCACAGGCTGGGTCGCGCTGAGACTCCTGGTGTTCTGGGAGCGGACTGTCACCCAGGAAGGCACAGCATGGTCCCCTGCATGAGGTGGGGTCACCATGTGAGGGGGGCTGTGGTCCACGCCCGGGGTGGGGACCCACGGGTGGAGCATCTGAGGCTGCCACGAGCTGGTCACGTGAACGGTGTGCTGCCGTCAGTCGTCACGCAGAGGCCAAGGCCCGCCGGGCTCCTCTGCCATCTCTGAGCTGCTGCCCATCCCCGTCTCCCCAGAGGGCTGAGGATTACGGGCCTGTGGAGGTGATCTCCCACTGGCACCCCAACATCACCATCAACATCGTGGACGACCACACGCCGTGGGTGAAGGGCAGCGTGCCGCCTCCCCTGGACCAGTGTAAGCCCTGCCCGCCACAGCATCTCCCCGTCTCCGTCCTGGGCCCTGAGAGGCCTTTCTAGATCTCCTGACCCTGCCCTGCCCACTCTACGCTCCCACAACCCCACACCCTTGGTAACCCAGGCCAGGCTGCCGTGTGCCAGGATCACCGTGTGGCGGGTCCCCTGCTGCTCTCCAGAAATGTTCTCCTCTGCCAACTACTCTCAAAACTCTGGATTCCTAGTGCTTTTGTAACACGGAAGCTACATGAAGTTTCGTAACTGAGCTGTTACCCTGGCGGCTGTGACCTGAACTGAGCCGTGGTCACCTCCATTGTTCAGCCACTGCCCTTTCACCTGCTCCCCTCCACTGAGGTCCGCACACACAGCCCAGAAACACTTCCGCCTCTGGTGAGGGTCAGAGGGCCCCTTAGGGCCGTGGTGCTGGCCAGGCTGAACAGGGTCCTGCCCTCCCGTCCACAGACGTGAAGTTTGATGCCGTGAGTGGCGACTACTACCCCATCATCTACTTCAACGACTACTGGAACCTGCAGAAGGACTACTACCCCATCAACGAGAGCCTGGCCAGCCTGCCGCTGCGCGTCTCCTTCTGCCCACTCTCGCTGTGGCGCTGGCAGCTCTACGCCGCCCAGAGCACGAAGTCGCCCTGGAACTTCTTGGGCGATGACCTGTATGAACAATCGGACGAGGAGCAGGACTCGGTGAAGGTGAGTGGGCGGGCGGGGGCGTCCGCAGAGGTGAAGGGGAAGCGGTTCCTGTACCCCGGCTTCACATCCCCCGGCAGCCCCCACAGCGGGTGGGAAATGGGCCCCGGCCGTCTGATCCTGAGTGCCTGGCCCGCCCCACCCTGTCCCCCTGACTTCGTGTCTGCCCTCGCTGGTAGTGTCCTTGAGTACCTCCCCTTCCTCGTCTCTGGCCCAGTGTGTGACAGTGAGGCTGTGCTTTGTTGGCTCCGAGCTGCACTTACTGTGGTTTGTGTTCCGCGCTCCCCTGCACCCATCTCCCTCCATCTCCATGCCTCCCTGTCCTCTTCCCCGGGTCTGTGCGCACCACCATCCTCTGTCCCCATTTACCTTTCCCTGACTCGTTGCCCTCCTGGCTGATGCACTTTCTCCCTCTGGATGGCCAGGGTGTGTGAGCAGGGACAGGAAGGGGCCGCTGCCAGTCCGGGGAGGGCAGTGCTCACGTGTTCCCTTCCCGCTGCCCAGGTCGCGCTCCTGGAGACCAACCCCTACCTGCTGGCACTCACCATCATCGTGTCCATTGTCCACAGTGTCTTTGAGTTCCTAGCCTTCAAGAATGGTAGGTGTGGGGCTGCAGGACTGTGAGGCAGGCGTGGGCGCCTGGGGGTGGGGGAGCCCCATACCCTTCCCCTGCTGGCGTCTCAGCCCCACTCTCCAGAGGCCTGGTGAGCTGACGAGGGACAGTGGCCCTAAAACTCCCAGTCTCAGAACACCCTCTCACCACACACAGCTCTAAGGGAGGGGCTGGGCCTGCGGCTGAGGCAGAGGCCAGGCTGGCACCATCAGGAAGCAGGGCTGGGAAACTCCAAGGCCAAAGCCAGGGAAGCCCCGGAGCCTCTCCCATCGCCTGCTGGGCAGGCTGCCTGTGGGGAAGGCTCCCTGGGCCGAACCCCATCCCCAAAGGCCCCTAGGTTCTAAGGCCAACCAGGCTGAGTGGCCATGTGCCAGGCCCTCATCAGCCCCTTGCTCCCCAACCTCAGTGGTGCTCCCTTGGCTAAAGTGAGGTGGCGGAGGCACCCAGAGGTTGCTTGCCATGGTCACAGAGCTCTGAATTGGCAGTGGTTCCAGGACCCCATTCACTGTCTAGTGAGGAGGCTTCTGTGAGTGAGGAGTGAGGGGACCATTATGACAGTGACACTGCCATTGCCAGGAGCCCCCTTCCTGCAGTCTCTCTGTGCCCTTGGCGGTCTGTTAGCTGGCGTTAGATCACCTCACCGTGCCGGGGGCAGCACCGATTTCCTAGACCCCTCTGCTGGCCCTGGACTGGGTTGGCCTGGCTGCCTCTGTCCAGATAAGAATTGAGGCACACTCACCCATGGTCAGAGCAGCGGGTATGAGTCTTGCTTCCCCCCGAACCCCACCTCTGGACTGTCCTGGTCAAGAGGAAGGGGTTGGGCTGGGAATTTAGCTCAGTGGTGCCACTTGCCTCGAAAGTGTAAGGTCCTGAGTTCCATCCCCAAAAAAAAAAAAAAAAAAAAGAGTAAGGGGTCAGTGTGATGGGCAGTGGGCTGGTGAGTGGACCCTGTGGTTGGAGCAGGTGAGCCAGGACTGTGACTGCCAGCTGGCCTGTGTGCCATGGCCTGGTGTCACCTCCAAGCCAGGCCTGATGGGTCAGGTTGGTTCCCTGTGGCTGCAGTTGGCAGATGCTCAGCTGGCCAGGCGTGGAGATGCCCGGGGGAGAGCAGGGGTGGGAGGGGCTGTGTGGACACAGGCTGCCCAGGGCGTCTGCATGGAGAGAGCCCGGGGCTGGTCTGCACCCCAAGGGTACCCACAGGTCTGTTCCTTGGTGATGGAGACAGTGTCTGGGGAGGTGGTCCAAGCACGTGTCGCGGTTCCATCGGGGCAGAGGGCACAGGATCACACCACGACATGGCATAGACCCGACTGGCCGGGTCTCGCCGTGCCAGGCTGTGCAGCCTCAGGGAGGCAGCTTCCCTGATTGGCTTTCGTCCCCCTGGGCCACTGGGTGCACCTGTGATACCTGGGGACCACAGAGGTCCTGCCTTTGGGGTGCTTGGATGGGTGCCCCGGGAACGAGAGCCTTGGCAGGAGAGAGCTCCTCACACTCTGGGTCTCCGTTTCACACAGACATCCAGTTCTGGAACAGCCGGCAGTCCCTGGAGGGGCTGTCTGTGCGCTCCGTCTTCTTCGGCGTCTTCCAGTCTTTTGTGGTTCTGCTCTACATTCTGGACAACGAGACCAACTTTGTGGTCCAGGTCAGCGTCTTCATCGGGGTCCTCATTGACCTCTGGAAGATCACCAAGGTCATGGACGTCCGGGTGAGTTCGGGCCGCTGTGGTGTTGCAGGGGAGTGGAGAGCTGAGCAGAAGTATGGTGTGGCCCAGGCTGACCCTGGAGCTGGTCCCTGGGGCTTTCCTGACGCCTGCCTCGCTCCCAGGACCTAGGGGATTTTCACACCAGGGGATTTTTTTGGGTCACACGTAGAGCAGGGGAACTGGGAACAGTGGGGAAGGGCAGCTGCTGGTTCTCGCATAGCGGGTGGCGGGAGCCAGTGCACAGCTGACCGCAGCCTCCTCCTTCGGGTGCAGCTGGACCGGGAGCACAGGCTGGCGGGAATCTTCCCCTGCCCGACCTTCAAAGACAAGTCCACGTACATTGAGTCCTCCACCAAAGTGTATGATGACGTGAGTGTCCCCACAGCCCACCAGAGGTGGTCTCCAAGCACCCACATGCCCGAGGGGAGAGGGCCGGGCCGTCTAAGTGCTTAGGGGCCCCATGTCACACCCTGTGTCTCCTGCCTGCTGTACCTACTTCCTGGCCAAGTCCAGAGTTCCCAGGGCCACTTGGAAATTCCCTTGGCCTAGCCTGCCAGACCAGGTGTGGGGGTGTGGGTGGGGAGCTGAGGTGGCAGGTGGGCCTGGAGCCGGTTCCAGCCCCATGTGACCCACAGATGGCCTTCCGGTACCTGTCGTGGATCCTCTTCCCGCTCCTGGGCTGCTACGCTGTCTACAGCCTCCTGTACCTGGAGCACAAGGGCTGGTACTCCTGGGTGCTCAGCATGCTCTACGGCTTCCTGCTGACCTTCGGTGAGCGTGTGCAGCGGGCCAGCTGACGACAGCCCCGGTACAGGCACGGCTTCTGGGAGGACGTGAACAGCACAGTTCCAGTTTTGTCCCCAGAGGAGTAGTTTGTCTCGTGGGGAACCCAGAGAGCAGACAGCAGCCAGGCTTCAGGGCAAGGGATGAGCCCGTAAAGGGAAGAGCTGGGGTGCACGCGGGAGGGGTGAGGGAGACGTCTCTGAGGAGGTGACGTTCAAATGGGCGCCAGGAAGGTGCCAGGGAGGGAGCCATGCAAAGATCTGGCGGAGGGCGGGGCAAATGCCGGCGCCAGAGGTAGCACGTGCCTGAGGTGTTGCGGTGGCAAGGGTGCCAGTGTCCCTGGAGCAGAGCAAGCTAGAGGTGGGTGGGACATGTGGTTGGAGGGCACAGGGAGCCCCCTGCGCTCACAGTGCCTTTGCCCTCACCGCCATGCAGGCTTCATCACCATGACCCCCCAGCTGTTCATCAACTACAAGCTCAAATCTGTGGCCCACCTGCCCTGGCGCATGCTCACTTACAAGGCCCTCAACACTTTCATTGACGACCTGTTCGCCTTTGTCATCAAGATGCCTGTTATGTACCGGATTGGCTGCCTGCGGGATGGTGAGGCCTGGTGGGCGGTTGGGCAGGCACTCGGGCCTGTGACCATCTCTACGTCTGGCGGAGGGCGGAGGGCGGGTGCCCTCCCCGCCCTCCCCACCCTCCCTCACACCGCCTGTCCCCGCAGACGTGGTGTTCTTCATCTACCTCTACCAACGGTGGATCTACCGCGTTGACCCCACCCGCGTGAACGAGTTTGGCATGAGTGGAGAGGACGTCACAGCAGCCACCCCTGTGCCCCAGACCCCCACGACAGCGGGGGCCCTCACATCTGCGCCTGCCGCCGCAGCCAGCGAGGAGGCCGCCAGCTCCGAGCCCCAGGAAGCCCCTCCAAAGCCAGCAGAGGACAAGAAAAAGGATTAACCACCGTGGTCCTCCTCGTCCGCTCCGGCTCCTGGTGACCACGCCCTGCCTCCCTGGCCCCCTGCCTCCCTTCCCTGTGGCCCTTTCCCTGGACAGATCAGGCCGGGCGGTGGGAGATGCCCTCGGCCAGGGCCCGGTGTGTGACGCGGGGGCCGGGGCAGGCCAGGCTGGCTGTTAGTGGAGGCGCCGTCTGTCTGTCTGTCCCTGTGTGTTTCCAGCCATTTAGCCCTGCCCCCCAGCACCACTGGGAATCATGGTGACGCGGACTCAGCGCTGTGGGGTCCGGGCGGGGAAGGGGCCGGGGCCACTGTGGGACGCCTGCGGTCATCCATCATCTTGTTCCTCGCCCCCGACCCCTCCTCCCAGACCGCCACCCTTTAACACAGTCTGGATTTAATAAATTCATATGGGTGTTTAACTTAAACTCTACAACCACCCGTCCTCTGCCTGCCTTCCTCTTCTGGAGCAGCTTCGACGGGGGGCAGGTGGCTCTGCATCAGGAGGGAGGCTTGCAGGTAAAGTCATGACACGGTGGGACAGTGACCTGCATTCTCACTCCTGCCTGCTGTCCTTTCGGGCCTCCCAGAACTGTCCCCTTTCCACACCCTGGGTGCCTGGAGCCTTGCATGTGTCCCATGCCACAGCAGGCCCAGCTCGTAAGTGCAGTGGCCACCACTAGAGGGTCATGCTCCTCTCTGGCTTCCTCCGTCAGCAGTGGCATCTGAGCGGGTGCCTTTACTCCAGCGTCTGGGGACGGGCGAACCCCAGAGGTGCTGTAGTGCCCCAAAGGTATAAGGTTGTCACTGACACCGAGAACCCAGCCAGGCTGTCAGCAGATGGCACTTGTGCCTTCCTGGCCCCTTCCTGGGAGTAAGGACTGTGCAGCCACTCTTCAGGTGAGGTGATAGAGGCCTAGGAGCTGGGAACCCCACGTCCCACATTTATCTTTGGGGTGGTCTCATGAACCCTGTGGGCTCCGTGTGCCACCCACCCTGAAGAGCCAGGTTGGGAGAGGGATTCCTGGGAGATGTGGGTGCTTACGGAGCCCCAGGTGTGTGATGCCATCGTGCTGCCCTGCTCCGTATTACCTTACCTCACAGGCAGGTTCTAGAGGGGTGCAGGTGCTCAGGCCACCCTGACTCACTGCCCCCACACCCCGGCTCCTCCTCCCTCAGCCCCGCCCCCAGGCCTTTGGCAAGGCCCCTTAGCTACACCCCGCAGTGCAGTCACTCAGGAGGCAGGAGGTACCCTTTGGCTTCCCCCAGAGCAGCTGGAGCAGGCTCCCCGCCTGTGGCCTCACCCAGCCTCCTCCCTAGGCTCCCGGCTCTCCCTCCCACACCATGCAGCAGCTGAAGAACACTTACTCTCTCTTTCTTTTTTCCGTGGCACTGAGGAATGAACACAGGGCCTTTGCACTAACAGCCTACAACCAGCTCTTTTTAATTTTTGCAGTGTCCTAAGTCACTTAAATTACCCAGGCTGGGCTCAAACTTTTGATCCTCCTGCCTCAGCCTTCCAGAGTGCAGGGGTACAGGTATGTGCCACCACACCTGGCTAGGACAGTCTCTGAAGCACAAAGCTGCAGACCATGGTGGTGCATACCTGTAATCCCAGTACACAAGAAACTGAGGCAGGAGGGTTTCCATGAGTTCAAGGCCAGTCTGAGCTACATAGGGAGACCCTGTCTTGGAAAAAGAAAAACAAAATGTTTTTGAGGCCAGCCTGGGCAACTTAGTGAAATCTTGTCTCAAAAAAAAGGGTACTGAGAATGCAGCTTATTAGCAGAGTGCTCACCATGCACAATGCTTTGGGTTCCATCCCCAGCACCCCTCCCCACAAACCTGACACTGCCTGTCCCCTGCTTAGAGGCCTCTGTGGCTCCTGATTGTCCCCAAGAGAAGAGTGTAGACTCCTGACTGGAGAGAACATCAACCTCTTAGCCCTCCAGCCTTGGTGCCCTCACTGTGGCTGCCTATAGTCCCCCAACCCCCATCTCCAGGTCCTTGGGCTCTCAAGGCATTCCTGCCACCCTGGGTCGTCACTGTAGGGCAGGTCAGTCTTCCTCCACTGGCCCTAGACCCATGAGGACACAGCAGTGCTGCCCTGGTAACTATCATGTCCCCAGCTCCTCTGGTGTGTGTGTGAGCAGTGCTGACGTTCACAGAGCCACAGATGTGTCTGGAAACGTGCCTTGAGGGGTGCACGTTGGGACACAGCAGGGAGAGACGACACAACCTGCAAATGCTCCCAGCAAGGGCCCTTGGATTGGGGCTTCTGTGTACACAGCTGGGATCGAGACAGGCCCAGGCTGGCCCAGGTGAGCTCATGGCCCAGCAGAAGTCAGGAGGCTCTCTGACTGATGTGTCCTCAGTTATTCACTCAACAAACTTTATTATTTATTTGTGGTACCAGGCATGGATCCTAAGGCCCTGTGCCCGCCTGCGGATACACTACCACCGAGTTCCATCCCCAGCCCAACCTTTATGAGACTGGAAGCAGCAGAGGGCATCAGGTGGGCTCCTGGTCTGTCAGAGTCAATGTTTGTCACTCCTGATTCAGAGCCAAGCTCTAGTCTGAGCACTGTATGTGGTTTGCTTTATCCATTAAACTTCACATTACTCTGCCACTCTGGCTTGCCTTACTTCCATGTCTCCCCAGCAGTAGTCAATACTACTCCAGGTCCCTTGCTGTTTTTATCTCAGGGCCTTTGCACTTGCTGTGCCTTGAACATGTGTCCTCACGTACCTACATGGACCCCCTCACCTTTAGGTCTTCACTTAGATGTCCTCAGATCGTCCTCAAACTCTCTCCAAACTCAATCCGTATTTCCTCCTTTCTTCTGTAATCCCATTGCCACCACACATCTTTTCTCATCTATTTTCCAGCTGTTTCACTTGGATTTAGGCTCCTTGGTGACAGGGCCTTTTTAACAAACCATGGACTTGACTGGAAATGTGGGCCTTGGGCGTACAGCTTGTGAATAGTGCAGGACACTGTTACACCCTAATCATTCTGTAAGTTGAATGTTAATAAAGTCCTGTGACATATGGTTGTTTATCCCTGCCCAGCAGATGAAAAAGCAGGCCTAGAGAAATGGGGGCATTTGTCCAAGGCCGCAAAGTAATGTGACAATTATATAAGACATTAAGTGGTTAGAACGGTGCCTGATGCGTGGGAGACTATACTGTATACAAGGGCCACCTATTACCTTTCATGACCCATCCTATTTTCAGATCCACTTGAAGGGAAAACAAATTCAGAGAGATGACGTCAGCTGCCTGAGGTCACACAGCTATTGACCCCTTTGAACCCAGACGATTCTCTAGACCCTCAAATCACAACTTCTGGCAAGGCTCCTTTTTGGTTTTGTTTTGAGATAGGGTCTCTCGCTGTAGTGCAGGCTGGCCTTGAACTCACAGCGATCCTGCTTTGGCTTCCCCAGTGCTGGGATCACAGGCATGCGTACCACGCCCAGTTGCAAGACTCTTGTAGTACGGAGAACATAGCCTGAATGCCAAATACAATACGCCACCTATTTTTGTATGATTTTTACATTTTCAATTGACTAAAGATCTAAAGAATGTCGGGCCAGGGATGTGGCTCAGTGGTGCTGTGCCCTGGGTTCGATCTCTGGTATGGGGGAAAAAAAAGAACATTGGGTATAGTAGAGCACTCGTATAATCCCAGTAATTAGGAGGCTGAGGCAGAAGGATCAAGGCCAGCCTGAGCTACACAGTGAGTTTGAGGTCAGCCTGGACTGCAAAGCAAAATCTTGTCTT